AGGCACCCTACTATAATCTTATCAGCAGCTGCAGTGCGGGCGTCGCACTGACTCACCCTACTGATACCGTGAGGCACATGCGAGAGGCCAAGCGAGTCGACCATGTATGTTATCTAGTCCAGCCATTGCGATGAGAGGGCATTTGTCTTTGGGACTAGATGGATAGAGTTGTATAAATAGACTACCATGGTAACTCAATAAAGAGAATTCAGATTTGTCATCTCCCAGACAGGGCTTCGATCAACGCTGGTGTCTTGTACTGTGTGTGCATGCTCTGTTCTCCCTTCTTCTTCAAGCTTTAGCTATAGTGTGGGGGACGAACAACGCTTGTTCGTGGTCAGCACGACTAATGGGTGCTTGACAACACTAGCGGATGATCTGCAAGACTGATGAGTGGTTCACTCACCTGAGCCGGTCATCCTATAGGCCAACAGCAGAAACCGCCCCGCCCATGGCCGCGTGCGCCCAAGCGCGAACCGATCCGGCCTGAACTGGTGTCGTCGTGCGCGTCCGCTCCCCCACGGCCTCGTCGTGGTGGATGGCCAGCATGGGGATCAGGATCCACAGCGACACGGCCATGGGCACACGCAGCCCGTTGGCACCGGAGCCGAGCGTGATGTCCTCAAACGCCATCCGCGGCAGCAGCATATGCACAGCAGGAGCGTCTCGTTGATCACCATCCGCAGTTGCATGCATATGCACGAACCATTACAACCCAATGTCTAGGCGGCATGGGCGAAAGTCCGAAAGCGGAACATGCATGTGGATCGGCTGAAGTCAATGGCTTACCACGGTGAGCTTGGGGAGGTGGTCGGCGGTGGGCGGGCCGTTACCGCAGACGCTTCGTTACCTCGACACGCTCGCCATACCGCCACATTGCGGGACCCGGCGAGTGTGCTCGAGACCCCGACTCGGCGACGCGGGACCGGCGACGAGACCGTTCGCAGCGCGCGCACGCGCACCACACTCGGCCTTTCGCGTCCTTTGGCGCCCGGCGACATCGGCGAGACCTTACCGCACAGCTCGAGTAGTGGTAGCGATTCTTTGCGCCCGCGTCGCCTCGGTGCTCACCGGTGCTTTTATCATTTGAGGAAGAAGGCGGTGCTCTGTGCTTACCAGTGCTTTCTGGACCGTGGGTGCTGCGGCGGCGCCGGCTCGGCGGCGGCCGACGAAAAGCGTGGTCTTGGCGGCTGCTTTCGAGAAGAGTCGTCCTTGAGGCGCAACCGCTTGAGCGCACATACCCGCTTGTTCGCTCCACAGACTTTTGCGAGCTCCGCCTCATCATCAGCTCTAGCTAGCAGCGATCCACAGACGACGATGTGCTAAGCGCCGCTCGAGCGCTAGTATAAATTGGCGAAGCTTGACACGGCGAGCTCGTCGTCCGGATCGGGTTCCATGGTCACGCTCATTCATGCATGAGCGTGCTGATCGCTGCTGCGCCGTGGCGCGAAGCGCGTGGATGGAGCGGCACAGCGACGACCGCGCGCGGCTCACTCGTCGGTCGTCGTACTGATCCATCATCCTGATATGTTCCCACCAAAAACTGAGAAAGAGAAAGGCGACAAGGGTCTTTTTGAGAAGTTGGCATGGACACAACGTCCAATTGCCACCGTGGCACGGACCACGTCGGATCTTGGCACTGATGTGGCATGTTTTGGACTGTTGGTACGCGCAGGTAGTAGATTAGGGATCCGGACGTCGCTTTCTTAGTTCGAGGACCTAGGCGGAATCTGAGAAAAAAGTTTAAGGACCTCTCGTGCATTTTACTCCTTAATAAACCTATGATTTTTATAGCATTGTTTTAAATATATACATAAATATTAAGGACCCATAATTTCTTTTAAAAATAAGTTTATTTATTTACTAAATTTTATAAAACTTTAGCAAACTAATAATAAAATACAGATTACCATAAGTACAAAACAATATCCAGCATTGGTTTTTCTTCCCTCAAGTTGTTTGAGTTTACTTGCCAATAGACAAGATCAAACGTTAGATCAGGTCAGATTCGGGTTGTACTGAAAAAAAACATCTGGTCAACGTCTGATTCTCTATATTATATCAGATTACTGAGTATAGCCTAAACCCACCCATCGGGTTGGACTGAAAAAACATCTGGTCGACACTTGATCAGGTTTCTCTATGTTATAGACCGGATTACAGTAAGCCAAATGCTAATCAAGTCGAATTTGTTCAGATGGGTCAGATCTAGCTGGTGGGGTGGCGCATGATCGACGTACACGTCAGCACGGACTCGACGGATAGCTGTGCAGTGCTGCAATTCGGACGTGCCGACGCTGCCACTTTCCCAGGTACGGGGAGCTCGGCAAGATCATCGCCACAGGCCCACAGCCCGCAAGAATGCCGCGACTCGCGAGCTCCTGGCCAGAACAGCTGACGGCATGCATTCCAAGAAGAGGACGCGTCGTAGTAACAGTTACAGTCACCGGCAAACCGAATATAGCGAGCACAGTTCAGGCTTCCATTCAGCAAAACCAAAGAGGCTGCTCTGGTCATCTACACCAAAAGTCTCAATACAAGGTGTTATTCAACTAACATTACATTGCCCTCAAGGAACCAAGGCAATCCTCAAGTAATGCACAAGCTGAACAGGAACTAACAAGTTCCCAGAATTTAAAACGCCAGAAGATAAGTGTGATGGCACGCTATGCAAACATACAGAACGCTCATTCACCCCAGATGGAAAATGACCTCCTATATGTGCTTTTTTCTGCCAACTCTGAGTAGCACCACTGTACAACCAGTCCTCACATCATACATGAGTTCTCACGGATCACTGGTGAGCTTCTCTAAGATGTTATTAGTCCTCCCTGAAAAAAAAAACAGAGAACACAGACCAATGTTCATCAGCAGATCACGTGAACAAAAATGTTGGTAACAGTAAACAACAATGGTTTGTAACAGACAATTACTCCTATTCATTTAGTGGCAGTTAATACTTTCAGTAATCAACTCAGCCTCAAGATATCTATCAATCAGAACATTTGCTTTCTATAAAAGCAAGGTTTTCCTCCGTCGAAAAAAAAAATATCTATCAATTGTGAAATAACACATATATCATGCTGCTACTATATAACCTGGGCAATGAGGAACCATTACAAACTGATTTATTGCACCTTCTGAATATAGTTAATAATTTGAGCTAAATCCCGAAAATTGTTCTTCTTGAGTTCTCAAGTTAGAGCAGTTGAAATGCCAGGGAAAATGGCAGCATGTTCTTGGCTAGCTATGATTTTTTCTTTCTTTCTCTGCCATAAATCATAAGTCCATAGCTAGTTGCTCTATTGCATTAATAGATACTGCGCTTCAGGATTAGCTGGTCAAGGTCAAAGCAGCAAAAGCGTGCCTACGATTCTTCTGCAATGTGGGCAATGCAGCATACCTGACAGAATTGGGCAAGGAGTCTCTGGTCTCAAAACATGTCAAACGGGATTCATAAGTTATTTTGGACCAGTAACCAAACAAAGATGAACCATGTGGAATGGGAGTATGGGACAATGGGTTAATGTTACACAAGTCCATTCTCTCATCCAACAGAAAGGACCAATTCATACAATTGATCAAGACAACAGTAGAAAGCCAAGAGCACGTTGAGCAACTAAAAGAATCACACTAAAACAAACAAATGTTCTTAAAATAATAACACAATAAATTTTCAACTGATGTTTTTAAAAAATAATACCTAGGAAAAATGCAGGCTAGAAAAATTCCTATCAACTAATGCATTGAATGTAGACGGTTCAAATATGAGCATTTTGGGCAAATGAACTGGAGAGAGAGAGAGAGAGAGAGAGAGAGAGAGAGAGTCAACCTTAGCATGGAAACATTTGAACTGAATGATATCCAAAATATAACCAGGAAATGTTGAAAAAGCCATGTTGACCTTAACGAAAATGAAGGATGGCCTAATAGCTAGGGCAATCTAGGCTCTCATCAAGGATTGAAGAGAACTATTTAAAATTCAGTGCCATGCTGCCTTAAGTAATTTGCACCATAACATTAAAAAAATGTCTTCAAGCATAGCACTTGCTCATTCTAGGTAACAATATTCCAATAAATCATATGAATTCTATTTATTCTAAACTTTTTTCTGCTTTCATCCACAACTATCTTCAAGCATTTTATCCAAAGATTGTTTGATTGCAACTTTTCTGTACATCACCTTACTTGGGTCTGAAATGGTTCTCTTACACTGGAAATACAACCTAATTGGTTATCAATCATATTAATTTTGGAATTCCAACATAGGCCTCAACAGTTATGACAGGAAATTCTATGGAAATGGGAAAGCGAAGAGTTTGCCCAACTACGTGAAAGCAACCATTTTGGGACATCTCAGACAACATTATTTGTTATTGACAATGTCTCTGCCAAATGACTACTGAGTTAGCCTGCTAGGCAAAACAGGATACAAGGCTCAGTAGACCACCACCGAATTTTCACAAAGGCTGAGAATGCAATGCTATTAATGCCAAAAAAAAGAACAGCGTGCATAATACTAATACCAATTTTCCAAGAATTACTGTATCCAGGGTTTCCAATTGATAAAACTGACACCCATTTCCGTTTTTTCAAGTGATTGTCAATCATATTTGGTGACTCCTATGCTAATCATAGTCTGGAAAAAGAACTAAATTACTCAGGCAACCATTCTCTACACTAGCAGCTCTTGTTGTAACAAACTAATAAGACCAGTTCATATGCACCAAAACACATGCGAGAAAAATTACAAGTGCCATGACTCATACCATTTGATAAGTGAGCCAAAGAGGAAATGCTGCATGATAGGCACTTTCTCAAGCACCTCAGCCTTGTACATTTTGAGCACCCCACTGTTAACCTTCTTCCAATTGGCCACTCCACTGATATCATCCAACATTGGTGAATGCTCCACAAAGGGCCCCTTCTTTACCTTCTTCACATATGCAGCGCACGCCAGATACATGTACTCCTTGGAGAAATTCTCCAAGATATCTGGGTTAATGAATCGACTTGGGCTTCATGTACTTGTGATCAATCAGCTGCGCAGACCCAAATATGAAGGGCAGGAAATGGTAATCGTCGAGCCCCCAAACGCCATGGGAGCCCGCAGGCTCCAGCTGGTACGTGTCCTGCAGCGTGCGCATGAGATCGAGGTAGGCTGCAAAGACGCGCAGAACGACGGCCGGGTAGTCGGTCTCGGTGATGACGCCTAGCCTCGCGAGGCAGTAGAGGAAGGCAGCGAAGTTGGTCTCGTGCCCCGTCCCGTAGTCGATGCGGGTGGCGTTGCCGAAGGAGTCGAGGAGGTACGGTGCGAGCTCGACCTCGGCGCCCGCGAGGTCCGCAGGGGAGGACGCGGTGGCCGCGATCCGCGAGATCAGCTCGCTGGCAGAGTCGGTGAGCTTCTCGTGCCAGAGGCGGAAAGCAGGGTTGCCGTACCGGAAGCTGTGCGGAAGCGGAGGGGTGGATGCGACGAGCCCGGCGAGAGCCGAGATGAGGTCGAGGAGCGCAGCGACGGCGGGGGATGGCGGGGACGGTAGAGGATCCGAGAGCTTGCGGCCGTGGACGGAAGCGGACAGCGCGGCGACGAACCCGAGGAAGTGGCGGCCGTGGACTGAGGCGTGGAAGCGGGCGATGTCGTCCGGTGAGGCAATCCGCTTGGCGGGGACCTGCAAGGCGTGGGGCGGCGCGGCGGGGGGGCACGGGGAGCGGCTGCGGGACCGCGGAGAGGACGATGGCGGCTGTGTTGGTGGGCGCGGTGATGGCTGGGAGACGGATGGGGCGGTACGCCGGCGGCGGGGAGTCGGTGGTCCCCGACCAGGGCCGGGGTCGACGCCGTGGTGGGCGCCCCGCAGGAGCAGGAGCAGGGTGTGCTCGTGGTCGTGGTGGGCGGAGGCGGGGACGAGCCGGGGTTGGACATGGCTGACGGCGGCGGCGGTGTCGTGCCGGATCGGAGAGGCGAATTGTGGGCGTTTAGGTCGGCGTCTCGGCGAGCTATGGCGTATGCTGGAGAGGCGTTGCAGACTTGCCGAGATGGTTGGCTTGGATGGCCCGAGTGGGAGAACTTGGGCCGAAAAGCATTTGTTGGGGTTTTTTCGGCTGACAGCTTCAGCCTTTTAGGCTTTTATTACACCGTGCGTGCGCGTCTTTAATCATATACATACAAGGATTAGAGCATCTTGTATTTTTTTTAAAAAAAAATTGGAGCACCTCTAAGAGATTACCTAACCCCTATCTCTTATTTAAAAGTCTATACGAGTGATCAACTATTATTAATAGTATAGTATTTTTCTTCTCCTTCGATAGATTGGATAGGGGAGAGCCGGAGAGGTCATGGACCTCCTACATTTAAGAAGGCGGGAGGTGGATTTTAAATAATTATTATATCTTTTAGGTATTAGAGATAGGATGAGTAATCTGTAAGAACAACTATAATCACTTATATTATATTCTTTTAAGTATTGGAGATGGAATAAGTAATTTATTTGAGGGCACCTTTATTAGTAAGAGTCAGCTACTGAATCTTAGATAATATTTCATCCTATATGCCTCATATATTCTCTCTCATGTCAAGAGATGTAAAGAGAGATAGAGGAGTTATGCCGCTTATTATGCATCGGGACACATAAAGAGCTTTGTTCTTCTCTTACTGCTAACTCAAAGATTGTTAGGGCTTCCCCGACGCAAGGACGTGGTGTATTGCCCCAGGCTCCACGCTAGCGCCAAACATCCATATCAAGTAGGCTAGTAGCCTTGCAGGCGCGCAGAGTGGCCTGCAGAAGAAGTAGTGGTCTCGTCAGTCAAAAGGATGGAGCTACTATCAGAATGTGTTGGGAGTGTGGTCCATGGGGAAAAAGGTAGAGCAGTGGACAGATAGGAAAGGAACGTGATGGGATGGTATAGAAGAAAAAAAAAGCAAAGCTGCCTGCGATGGGAGTATGTTGGCTAGAGAGACAACTTCCTACCTGTACTTGTCCTTTTAGCCTAGGGCCAACAGTAGGTGCTGCCCCGATTGGTGGTGCCCTTAGTCTATCTCTTTCTTTCGCGCGGCATCTGATACTAGCTTAGAGCCAGCCATTGGAGGTGCCCTCAGAGAACCACGGAGTCTCTTATAGTCCATCAGTCATTAATAAATAGATCAATTTCTAGAAACATGAAGATGAGGTTTAAGGCATGTTCGTTTCAACTTATCAGCCGGCTTATCAGCTAGAATCTATAGTATTTTTCTCTCACAACAAAACAGCTTCAGCCGGCTTTAATACCAGCCGAACAGCCGGGTAGTTTGATACTCAAGACCACACATTTAAACATAACATGCAAATCGACTTACCATGCATCATACAATCTCTCCTCGTAGGACAAATTACAAGTACAGGCAACAAGTGAATAAGGAATGGAAATAAATGAGGCATTTATTTTTTCCTTCCTTCATGCGGCAGTCCCTTCCATTTGACATTCTCCCTTCGCCGCGGGTGTCACTCCTGCCACGTCTACACAAGTGTTTTGCACTGCGAGGTCGTCGGGTCCCACAATGCCGGGAGCAGGTACTTCCTCCCGCCTAGCCCGACGGCGTTGTAGCTCGCGCCGGTGGCCGGGTCTGTGAGCAGCCTCCCGGGGTAGCCAGGGTAGGCCCCGGTCCCGAAGATACCGGCGCACGCCGTGGCAGCCTCCAGCTCGGCGCCGGCGTCGCCCTTGTAGTACCCGTCCCCGTACGGGTTGGTGACCGTGCCGGCGAGGAGGGCGGCGAGGCTGATGACCATGCCGTCGACGCCGGCGTCGCCGTTGGGCGGCACCAGCGGCGGGGTCTGGGGACCGTACGTCGGCCGGTGGAACGGCCACGCGCACTGGCCGGGGCACTGCTGCGCTGGGTTTCCCGCCCACAGGTAGGTGTACCGCGCCCTGCCGTGCGCGCCGCCGCGGTCGTGGTCGTGGACGCCGCACCGCGACACGCAGAAGGACGCCACGGGGACGTCGGCGGCCGTGAGCACCGCGGTGATGGCGCCCCGGTGGTGCCCCGCGGCCCGCGCCAGCGCCGTGACGTTGCCCAGCGAGAGCGGCCGGCCCCGCCGGCTCAGCGACATGCGCTCGTCGACGAGGATCTGCCTGCCGAGCCGCAGCCGCGCGCCGCCGCCGCCGCGGTACAGGGAGGTGGTGCGCCACCACGACGCCACGGACGGCGGTCCCGCTCCCGGGCGAGGCGCGGCGGCCGAGACCGAGAGGGAGCGGACGAAGTCGACGACGATCGCGCGCTGCGCTGGGGTGAAGCGCCCGTAGAAGAGCAGGTTGACGGTGAGGTTGTCCCCCGTGAGCAGCGCGCCGCCGTGGTCCCGCAGCACGATCGGGTCGGGCTTCACCAGGAACAGCATGCGCGGGTTGAGCGCCGCGCACCGCGGCGCCGCCCCGCCTAGCAGGGCGACGGTGAGGACGAGGCAGATCAGCAGCGCTGGCTTCTTGCGCCCGCCCATGGATTCCGCGAGCCGACCGAGGACCGACTGACCGAGATCGGAAATGAGGTTTTGATCGAGGTTCGCGCGTTGTTTGTGAGCTCCCGCTTGGGCTATCTAGCTCGTGGCAGCAGCGGGTTTATATAGCCGGCCGGCTGGAGCCTGTGGGCGTAAAGGCGACGACGTGAGGAAGGTGTGCCGTGCGCGTGTGTGGCGACCTCGGCGCTCCGTGGAGTTAAGAAGCGCATGACGCGCGCGTGCATCAGCTCCTCGGTTTTGGATTTCAGGCGCCGTTCGATCACAGACGATGCACGTAATGCCATAGCGTGATTCGGAGCCGGGAATGGAAGATGCCGATGGAAGTGAGGGCGACGAAGCTTTTGGGCTGCTGCCACTCGGGGTACCAAACTGTGAGCCCATGGGCTAAGAACGGGTTAAATGGCTTGTAGAGGCCCATTAGCGAATGTAAATGGGCTAACGAAAGCATAGCCGCACCCCACACCACCATTTTGTCGCCATCCCGCAGGAACCCAGTCTCTCAGAGAATGACACACTCCACACGTGCGCCATGTGTCACCCTCAGAATCGTGCCTTACGTGTCATCCCGTGATGCACGCATGGCGTGCTGTCCCTATACGGCACTGGCAGCGTGGGACGGATCTCTCCCTCACGTGATCCCGTCGTGGCGTCGTCGTCGTCAACCCCTAGCCGATAAGCTTCCCGAGCTCCACCTGCCACACGCGGCACCTTGCGTCTCGCGGTCTCGGTCTCTCGGAACACGTCGACGGACGAACATGCAAGCACTGTGGTACACGATACTAAAGCTTCAACCACAGGTCCTTTATTCAGCACTGCCCGGCGCGACAACACGTTACGTACGATGACATGTACATACTGCACTGTTCAGAATTTACATATACCAACCACTACTGGAGGGACGAGCTTTACTCCCGGTGGAGAACTCCCTCTAGTCCCGGTTCCCCACCCGGGAGCAAGCATCCAGGACTAAAGGGGTCCTTTAGTCCCGGGTCGAAACCGAGACTAAAGGGGTGCATAACACCAACCGGACAAAATGTTCTCCCAGTTTTAAAAAAAATAATGCCTCCCACCGCTGCGTCCCGTGAGATTCGAACCTAAGACCTCATGCATTGCCTCGTTCATAGCTTACCACCCCACCTACGCAAACACATCTAACAATGGATGGGATGCTTCCCTTTTCAACTAAGCCATCGGGGGATCTTTAATCCCGGTTGGTGTTACCAACCGGGACTAAAGGGTCTTTTAGTCCGGGTTGGTGTTACCAACCGGGACTAAAGGTTAGAGGACTTTTAGTCCCGGTTGGTGGCTCCAACCGGGAGTAAAGGTTCACCTTTAGTCCCGGTTGGTGTCTCCAACCGAGACTAAAGGTCCCCTGCCACTGTGCCGAGCGTGGGCAGGGACCTTTAGTCCCGGTTGGAGACACCAACCAGGACTAAAGGTCTCTCTAATCCCGGGCGCAAAATGCCAAGACTAGAGCCTATTTTGACCTCGGATGAAATATCTGTTTTCTACTAGTGAACATTTCAAGCTTGAGACCCGTCACTTCTCGATTACACCAGCGTGGAGCACGCCGACGACGTGTCGGGGACGAACGAGCGCCGGAGTGTACTTCTTCCTCCGCATGCGCGCGTTGTAGGCTGGCGCCCATCGCCGCGTCCACGACACGCCCAGCCGTACCGAAGTCTGGCGCCCGCGCCTTACCGCGCCGACATGCCATGGCACGCCATGGCGGCTCACAGCCTTGCGGTCGCCCTCGTAGAACCCGCCGCCCGAGCAGGTTGGTCACCGCCGCGAACAACATCGCTACCTGATGACCACGCCGTCCATGACCGCGTCCCGGCTGGGCGGCACCACGCCGGCGGCGGCCTGCGCCCGTCACGCCGGTGGTGGAACAACCACCTTGCATGCCGAACGCGGTGGTGGCGGGTTGCTCATCCAGCGTCACGCCGCCGCCGCCGCCTCTCGGGACGGGACGGGACCGGGACGCTAGCGTCGTCGTATGAGTACGACCCATGGTGGCGCACCGGCTCATGCAGAAGCCCTCCACGGCCACGTCCCCCGTGCCGTGAGCACCGGTAGGTGACGCCGCCTTCAGCCTTTCGGAGGCGTGCGCTGGCCGCCGCCAGCGATGGAAGCTGGGACAGCTTCAGGCTCTTCCCCAAGCGAGCAGCCCTCGTCGGTGACATTGAGTGGTGTTTTCCGTTTTCGAGTGTGAAGAGCAAAGCCAAGCTGAGAGCTGTTTTTTACATAGAGGTGCCTCGCGCAGATGTGAGTGTATTGTATCTATACCGATAATAAGACGATAATTAAGCATGCGAAAAGAAATCACCTTGTGATATATTTGCGGCCCTATGGCAATTTATGGTGTTTCGATTTCAAGGACCAACTAGCTCACTCCTACTCACTCCGATTCTCTAAAACAAGTCGTTTTGAGGTTGTCTTAAGTCAAATATTTTAAACTTTGACTATAAATAACTTCTTTTGGGTTGAGTTTAAAAATATGAAAGTGATATAAGTAGATTCATCTCGAAATGTAGTTTCATAAAAGTATATATTGACTATATTTTATAAATATTTTATAGCAAAAAGTTGCGATCAAAGTCGTTTCTTAAAAGACCAGTGTCGATGTCCAAAACGACTTGCTTTAGAGAACCGGAGGAGTATATATCAAGTGATCTAGCAGCTTTCAGAACTCAGAAACAGAGGCGGTCTCTGTGTTCAATAAGGAGCCAAACGGTTCACTGAAAAGGGTTAGGGCATGTTTGGAAGCCGGTTTTTGTCTAAAACACTTGTAAATTACAGGTATGTAAATTTTGTGACATTGAGTGGTGTTTTCCGTTTTCGAGTGTGAAGAGCAAAGCCAAGCTGAGAGCTGTTTTTTACATAGAGGTGCCTCGCGCAGATGTGAGTGTATTGTATCTATACCGATAATAAGACGATAATTAAGCATGCGAAAAGAAATCACCTTGTGATATATTTGCGGCCCTATATTTATGGTGTTTCGATTTCAAGGACCAACTAGCTCACTCCTACTCACTCCGATTCTCTAAAACAAGTCGTTTTGAGGTTGTCTTAAGTCAAATATTTTAAACTTTGACTATAAATAACTTCTTTTGGGTTGAGTTTAAAAATATGAAAGTGATATAAGTAGATTCATCTCGAAATGTAGTTTCATAAAAGTATATATTGACTATATTTTATAAATATTTTATAGCAAAAAGTTGCAGTCAAAGTCGTTTCTTAAAGACCGTGTCGATGTCCAAAACGACTTGCTTTAGAGAACCGGAGGGAGTATATATCAAGTGATCTAGCAGCTTTCAGAACTCAGAAACAGGGCGGTCTCTGTGTTCAATAAGGAGCCAAACGGTTCACTGAAAAGGGTTAGGGCATGTTTGGAAGCCCGGTTTTTTGTCTAAAACACTTGTAAATTACAGGTATGTAAATTTTTTCAACCCAATTCGAAATTAGCCGTTTGGATGACCGGTGACCATACTAATTTTACATTTGGATGGGACCAAAACAGGTGTAACAGAAACACAAACCTCCTCAGCTCTGGATAAAAATACGACAATTATCGGCTTCCTCCCGCAGCCCCCGTCCCCCACTTCTTTCTTCCCCGCCGCACGAGAGGGCTTGCCGCGCGCTCTCGCCGGCCGGCCGCCACACGCCAGGAGGACGACCCACAGCTTGCGCGCCACTCTCACCAGTCGGCCTTCCTACGTTAGGACGCACGCCCCGCCAGACGCAAACCCACAAGGTCACCTGCGCAACTGCGGTGTACCTCGCCCAACGCCGCCTCCTCCATCCCCGTATGCACTGGTCAGATCTCCACCGGCGGCCCCCATGGCTATATCTAGGATTTGGATGGGGAGGAGTCGACGCTCGGGGATATGGAAGGGTCAGGTGAGTGGATTGCTATGCGATTTTTAGCTTCGCGGTGGCAGCGGCGTCGGGGGCGTCCTCGTTGTCGGGCCGGCGGCAACCGTACGGCCGTCTTCCACCGGAAGTACTGCGTTGGCGCTGGGACCCGTTTGGCACGGCTTCGGCCAGCTCCGGCTCCGCCTGACAATCACTGCGCAGATCACTGTAGAACACTGTAGTCAGAGCTGGATTTCTCTCTCCTGCTTTCTTCTCTCACTGTAGCTCGGGGTGCTGTTCACGGAGCCGGAGGAGCCAAAATTTTAGGCTTCACCGGTGAAGCCGCTGGCTGTGAGAGGGAGAGGGAAGGAGAGAGAAAACGGGCTCCGCTACAGTGAATGACAGTGAAATTGTAGGCTGGAGCTGGAGCTGTCCGGAGCTGGAAGGAAGCAAGGAGGAGGAGGAGGCCGAGACGCTGGAAGCCCTCTTCATCAGGGAGCTCCGGTGGCACAGGATGTGTCGGGTCCGCGACAACTACGAGGAAGCGTCGCTTGTAACTAGTGACAATAACTTTTCATCGAAACACCATTTCACAGGCATAAAAATGATCCAATCATCCAATGGTATTATTGTGCACAGAAATTTACAAATGGAAGCCATTTACAGCTGTAAAAAATCACAGAGCAGCCAAACAGGGCCTTAGTGGTTCAAGAAAGAATCGGCTTTCCCTTTGATGCCTCGAACCATGCATTTCCCTTTAATTTTGTCAAGATCTCATCAAACCTACCATGAGCGTCACACGGTCAGGAACTTGTGCGCAGGACATGCCTGCTTTGGCCTAAAATGGCTCTCTGCTAGCCATGCGTGTATGGAGGTTTATTTAGCAATAGATCAGCCTCCGGATTCATTTGGATTAGGTCGGTGGTGTCCCGCAGGATTAGGACGTGAACGGTGAACTGACTTGACTCGTCAACCTCTATTTTCATACTCTAAAAGAAATATTTTATCCTACTCATCGAGATTCTCTACTCTATATCTATTTCTTCCGCACCCATGTTATCTCTATTTCATACTCTATACCCACTATTCCATATTTTATTCCCCTCCCTCCCCCTTTCTCTCTC